ATTAATCATCTAAATAAAATTCAAGACTGCCTTAAGGACTTAAAAACGTGGATGACCTTAAACTTTTTGATGTTAAACACGACCAAAACTGAAGTTATTGTACTTGGCCCGAAGAATCTACGAAACAAATTATCTAAGGATATATTAACCATGGATGGCATTAATTTGGCCTCCAGTGAGACTGTAAGGAATCTTGGTGTTATATTTGATCAGGATTTATCCTTTAACGCCCACATAAAATCAATTTCAAGGACCGCCTACTTCCATCTACGTAACATTGCAAAAATCAGGCATATCTTGCCTCAAAACGATGCAGAGAAACTAGTCCATGCATTTGTTACTTCAAGGCTGGATTATTGTAACTCTTATTATCAGGGTGTACCAAGAAGTCAGTCAAGTCGCTTCAGCTGATTCAAAATGCTGCAGCTCGTGTACTAACCAGAGTTAGGAAAAGGGACCACATTACTCCTGTTCTGGCTGCCTTACACTGGCTCCCTATAGAACACAGGATAGAATTTAAAATTCTTCTTCTCGCCTACAAAGCCCTTAATGGGCAGGCGCCATCTTACCTTAAAGAACTCATTATACCCTACTGTCCTACTAGGGCATTGCGTTCCAAGAATGCAGGGTTGTTGGTTGTTCCTAGAGTCTCTAAAAGTACAATGGGAGCCAGAGCCTTTTCTTATCAAGCTCCACATTTGTGAAATCAGCTTCCAGTTTGTGTTCGGGCGGCAGACACCCTATCCGTTTTTAAGAGTGCGCTTAAGACCTTCCTTTTTGATAAAGCTTATAGTTAGGGCTGATTAGATTCAGCCCCTAGTTTTGCTGATATAGGCTTAGTTTGTCGGGGGACATCTTACTTCTTCCTTCTCTCTGTCTATACCTGTGTACTCTCATGTTCCGATTAACCCAGCTTCCCCAAATGTCTTTCTTTTTGGTGTCTGTATACGCCGGGATCCGGAGTCATGGATGATCCTGCACTCCTCTGTCCTGGATCTTGAGTCGTGGCTGTGGTCCTGGATCATAGGTCCTGGATGGATATCCTCGTGGATTCATCTTCCTATTATACACACATGCATTTCCAAACATTTGGACTACCTATGTTGCAAATGTATTATCTTTTCAATTTACACACGGCATCTATTGCACGTCTGTCCGTCCTGGGAGAGGGATCCCTCCTCTGTTGCTCTCCCTGAGGTTTCTCCCATTTTTCCCTTTAAACTGTGGGTTTTCTTCGGAAGTTTTTCCTTGTACGATGTCAGGGTCTAAGGACAGAGGGTGTCGTATTGTCATACTGATATTTTGTACAAACTGTAAAGTCCACTGAGACAAATGTAACATTTGTGATATTGGGCTATATAAATAAACATTGATTGATTTAACAACACTTTCCTAATTATACTAGCATACTTTTACTAAAGTAACATTAACATGTTTAAATGCAGGGCTTTTGTAAGAGAGTATTTGTATAGTGTAGCATGGTCTATTTGACTTATTTAACCAAAGTGATCGTAACATTACTTTGCAAACCGTCAAAACTGATCACAGGCTCTATACCTTGACTACCCGAAGCAGATACATCTCTGAACAGAGGGCTGTATTCAAACGTGCTAAAGTGCATGTAGCAAGTGCATTCAGAGCGGTGCATAATTTGTGTGCAAAATAAGGAGCAGGGGTCAAAAGGGTTGTATTTCCTCCCCTAATTAATCAAGACATGTTTTGGGCGTAACATGAATTAACCAATAAGAGCGCCATCTCCCGCTCCTGGTAAAAGCCAGGTGATTCTCCTGACAGATTACTATTTACATTTTCTGTTAGTCCCTCTGCCTCTGTCTGATCAACACGTCCATTTGAAAGAAAATCAGCAAATGCTTCCAGGGGAAAGGACCTGTGTGTTTACTCGCAGACTGTGTGGTGAGTCTTTGTGTAACACGTGTAACCACACAAAGGAGGCGGTAAAAACAACATTATTGAACACATCATGACACATATTGTAAAAAAGGGTCTGGTCCAGCAGAAGAATTGTGCTGCTTCTGACACCGTTCTGAAGTCTATCTCCTTCTGGTCAGGAGCTACAGAGCCTTATTCATATTAAGTTGTATCTTAACAAAAATAAAAACATGTTTTAAATGGCTGAATAGCAGTACATTGAGAGTCAATGCTCATTAGCTATACTCAGTTTTTTGGAATCCTGTTCTAGTGTTTAAAAGTCATAACATCAAACTGCATTTCACAGTACTATGTGTGATGCCAATAAAGTCTTAAATAATCTATTCTAATTCAATCTAATTTAATATAACATTTGATCTATAAAACATAAAACATCTGCCTGTTCCTCATAAAACCAATAGCCAAAGGCCCCCTACAATGTATTTACTTACTTTATATGATTTAAAGGGACACTGCAGTGATTTTGCAATTACACTTGAATAAACAGCAGCAGTGGCTCAATGACTTTTAAACACTAGAACAGGATTCCAAAAAACACCCTCCTTGGTAAACAATGTTAAACAACCACAAGCCCAACTTCACCAGTAACATACAGTAACAATTTGATATTTGATTTTGATATACTTTATTAATCCCTCTTGGGGAAATTGTTTCTCTGCATTTGACCCATTCTGTGTTAGGAGCAGTGGGCTGCCATTTTTGAACGGTGCCCGGGGAGCTGTGTATGGAACGGTGCCTTGCTCAGGGACACCTCGGTAGCACTTGGTCTTGCCGGGACATGAACTGGTGACTTTTCAATTGCCAAGCCAAGTCCCTATCGACTTCGCCACCAGTCTCCTGAGGACATCTCCAGAGATAGAGGCTTACTCCTGACGTGCCAACACTGTTTCAGAGTCACTGTAAACATTGTAGAGCTAATTTAGAACAGAACTTTAAGGTGCTGTAACAGAGGAGTAAAAATACAATTTCCCATTACCCTAGAATATTGATTAAATATTACCAGCAGATGAGCAAAGATTACAAAATATAGATCATAAACACCAGGAACATTTCCCTTTTTCATAAAAAACAGATAAGCATTCAGAGATGGTATTAGGTTACACGGGCTAGTGGAACAGTGGCTATTTCAGATTTAACATCGGACTTTGAGTAAGGCTGACTAATCGCTATGATTAGCAAATTGATTTTGACAAATAAAGTCAATGAAGTACCTCATTAAACGCGTCATGTCTAATGGGGATCACCAATACCTGGTTTTGAAAGCTGAGAGAGATGTATTGTTCTTTCGTCTTTTCCTTGTAAATTGTAGAAGACACTTATCACTCCATGCTAACAGCAAAAAGCAGTTTCCAATATAACATAGCAAATGCTTTTTTTTAATGGAGTGGTGCAGTGATGATATATTTTTATAGGCCAACCCGGACGTTAGTATTCCAAGGGTTTCCTCAACAAAAAGCTATCGGATTTCCCCATTGGATTCAGTGTATTGCAGAAAATAAGCTGTGGCCAACACACATTTATGATACTTGCAGGTTCTGTTCATCAGGATAATCTCCACAGATTAAAACCCTTTTGAGATTATTGAAGAGGAAATACAATCAGCAGAAGTAAATAGTTAATGCTAGGCTATAAACAAACTACATCAAGGTCACATGGCTGGGCATCACCACCGCTAAGCTAAAGGCAGCTAAAATCAGTGAGATGCCGTTTACTTGTCTCATTTAGTGACTTGTTAGCAACCGCCGTTTTAATGACAAATATACATTTTCGACATTTAAGAGTGGAGTATTTCTGCCGTATTTTATGTGGTTGAACAAAACTTGAAAATCTCTTGCTTGTGTTAACCACAAACCTTATTTCAGGCTTCTAACCATAAACACGTTCAATAAAACATTGACTTCGAGACAAGGGAACCGGAAGAGGTAAAAAGTCATTCTGGGTTCTGGGACTCATTCCTGCACCACTCTATTGTACATTTTTTACAGTATATTGGGCGCTTGATCACACAGGCCATCTCTTCAAAGCGCTTTTGTATTCCTCTGTAGGATGATTTTGGTTTACCTGAACTTTTGTATGTGTTCTATATTAAATGTCAGGTTTTAACCACGCTAAATTAGGCCAAATTATGTACTGATTAAAGCTTGCCAGTAATGATTGCGTTTGTTATTCAGACAGGAATGTTAGGCAGGCTCTGGGCCACCTGAGTATCTTCTAGGTAGATACAAAAAGTCAAGTTGATGTGCTTTACTCTGTAGTTATAGTAATGTTTCTCCATCAGTGACAGCTTCCCACTCTCTTTCTCCTTTCTGGCCCTCCAAAACTTACAGGATGTTAAAGTGTATTGTTCATGCCTGGTTTCTAGCTATTTCTCTACTCGAGTCAAAATATGTCTTTTACCAAATAGGTTATTGTATACCATTACTGCAGCAGAAATCTTTGTGGTGCTATGAATTACCCCTTCCTTAAGTATGTAGACTCTGTTGAACATGGCTCTTCTTGGTTTGTTATGAAGAATGCAGTGGCTCGTCTGGTCTTCAACCTTCCTAAATTTTCCCACACTACTCCGCACCTCCGCTCCCTTCACTGGCTTCCGGTAACTGCTATAATCCACTTCAAGACACTGGTACTTGCTTACCATGCTGCGAATGGATCTGGCCCTTCGTACATCCAGGACATGGTTAAACCGTACACCCCAGCGCGTGCACTACGCTCTGCATCAGCCAAACGACTCGCTGCGCCCTCGCTGCGAGGGGGACCCAAGTTCCCATCGGCGAAAACACGTGGGTTTGCTGTCCTGGCTCCAGGATGGTGGAATGAGCTCCCCATTGACATCAGGACGGCAGATAGCTTGCACATCTTAGGGCGCAAACTGAAAACTCATCTCTTTCGACTCCACTTCGAGCGATAGAACTATTAACGAAGCACTTTTATACTAATAAAGGACTGGCTTATCTAAAGCCAGTTGAGTAGCACTTGAAATGTTTTTGCTCTATGAAGCCTGATGTACTTATATGATTCTGTTTTCTTCAAGTTGTATTTTGTTGGTCGAACGCACTTATTGTAAGTCGCTTTGGATAAAAGCGTCAGCTAAATGCAATGTAATGTAAAAAAGAAACATTTTAGATTGTGCATTTGTATAAAATAAGATCAGTACCAGGAAAAACATGTTCTTATTGGCTTCCTTCGTCTTTTTTAATTTCCCCTGTTGCCTGTTTGTTTTTGTGTTTCTTGAATCAAATTTGTGTGGAGTTATTGGGTTTCGTAAACAAGCACTGGCTCATAACAGAACTCTTTATGAACCTTCCTTTCCTGGAGGATCACAGGAGCAGGTATGTTTGAGTGTGTCAGTCCTCCAGGTGCTGCTCCACCCAGGTGGAGGTGGGGATGGCGCTGTAGGGGTCCATGATGACCTTGGCACAGCGGATGATCATGGCCACCAGCAGCAGGCAGAGGAAGGCCACGCAGTCCAGAGTCAGGCACTGGTCCACGTCCACTGAGGCTGGCTGTTCAGAGCCCTCCAACTCCATGAGTGTGTGCTGCTGCTGTCCTCACACCCGCATACACACCCATCTACCATCCTGAGGACCCCGCACACGCTTTCTGTAAAGAAAAAAAGTTAATTTAAAACTTTGAACACCACAAACTGAGTTAATCTCTGTCTCCCAAAAGTAGACATATCTATGTCCAATTTTCAGACTGTGTCTCATGTGAAAGTTTGTTTAATCTCTGTTCAGGCTTTTCATTGCAATCACCTAAACTATGTTTTATAAAAATAAGATTCACAATTTAATTTCCCTTTACATATATTCTTCTTCTGTTTAGATAAGGGAACATGGTTGAAATAGGGTTTTTATCTCATAAATAATACCCTTGAGTGGACCTTTTCCAGCTGTTACACTTTAGTGTTAAGATCATTATTTTGTAATCACAAAAATATCAAAACATCAAGCTGTTGTTTAATGATACATACAGTCTGAAGGGGACTTTGGAAAAGCTCTAGTTATGCAGATATGTGGGTTCAGTTTGGAAGGAACCCTATTCTGATTTTTCGGGTTTTCCCTTCCCTGCAGTGTGTTCTATAGGTTTGTGTGCATGTAAATGGTCTGCAAAGGCTAAAATCCCTGTGTTCCCCCCTCTGCCTGAAATGCCTCCATTGGACTCCACTTACTTCTGTAACATAGTGACATCACTATGGTTTCAGACAGAGGGTGAAAAGTGGTGCTGCAGCACAGATAGTATGAGAAAAATAAAGAGCTTTTTGAACATTAAAGCATGGAGACTAGGGATGTTAAGATTTCCCGATTCGCATCGGTGCACGGGCATAAACGTTCAAGATGCGAGTGCACCGGTTGAAAGAGTGCACATCGGCTACAGTTTGGGTTGAACACATGGAAGTTAAGGAAGGCTTCTCAGTACTCTAATTTCCCCTCCTCGACTCCTCTGGTAGTGACCCGGAAATGGATTTCAGCGCGCCATTTTGAATGACATCTCATTTCTCTAAATGCACATCGAGGACCGAGGATCGAGCATCGAGGAGGCTCTCTGGAAGAGCTCTAACCGAGGAGACACTGATGGTTCCTCCACGGCTCCTCCGCGGATGCATTTCCGGGAACGGTGGAGGCGTGACGCACGGCCGGACTTATCTCAGCCAATGACAGCTCTGCATGCATCCCCTGGATATTATTTTAGTAACTGCTTTCATCGCGACGCGATGTTTCCAGAGAGAACAGCTGTGAGGTCCGTGCAGAAAGCAGAGCAGTGTGTATAATATATATCACTCAGTATAACAGGCCTACTCTCTTTATTTGCTTTAGTTTAGTAGATATCTACAAACAAAGAGTCGATATTTTTCTAAAACCATTTAGTGCTTCACATAATAAAATACACAACGGCTGTAGCCTGATTATGCTTTAGGAGCTGTAGGTGTGTGTGTTGTACAGTGCGTAGATGCGGCGGACAGACAGGTCTCAGTTGGTTTGGTGTCCTATGCTTACTTTTAATACTTGTTCAACTTTTGGCCCGTAATTTCAATTCCCCATTTCAGCGACCAGAGAGAGATTGTGTTACGTTATTATGAGAGTGCTCTCATACTTGTTTGATTCTGAAATTATACATATGTATGTGTGTGTGTGTATATGTCTGCATCTGTAGCCTGTTATTTTCTCATTATACCGCACTGTGAATGAATTAAAAGTAAATATATAAGTGGTCATGAACACATCTGTCCATCAGACAGAGGGCTGCTGTGCCTCCTGTCATCATTAATGGACGTCTCTTTTCAGAGGAGAGGAGTTCTCATTTCTCTAACCGCCTGCTGCTTCCCCTTCTTTCTCCTCGGTTCCCCTCCTCAGTCCTCCGCTCGCATCTCCTGTGGGCGGCACCAAGTCTCGAGGATAGGAGTCGAGGAGGGGAAATTTGAGTATTGAGAAACCTCTACTGTTGCCCTCTAGTCCCTCTCTCTTGTCTTTCTCTCCTTTATTTTCTCTTTTGAAAACCTGACTTTGTGAGTCGTTGAGATATGGTTCACAAGTAAGTACTAGCATCCCTGCTCGATAGATGCGTGGAATAAGCTCAATCAACGCTTTGGGCAGCCATTTGTGATCCAAAGAGCTCTCAGGGAGAAGCTGTCAAAATGTCAGAAAATACAACCCAAAGACGCTGAAGGGTTAAGAACATTCTCTGACTTCCTACAAGCCTGAATGCAAAGCATGCCCCATGTGAAGGGTCAATAAATTCTAAATGACTGCGAAGAAAACCAAAAGCTAATACAGAAAATTACTGATTGGCTAGCAGCACGTTGGAATCGCCAGGTAACAATCGCTCTCATGGAAGGTAAAGAGTTTCCCACCTTTGGGTATTCGGTTAACGCGACCACTGCTCAGCCCTGTTGTTGCCATTTTATTTTCTGTTAAATAAGGTTAGTTAGACCATGAGTTAGACCCGAGTCTTCCTGACAGTTCACAGTGTGCCGCTCCCCGGTGTAATTCAAATGTACCGCCGCGCGCAGCACAGACACACAGCTGCTGCCCAGCCGCAGCACCGGAAATGGAACTGCTGGGAGAAAAACTGACTATCAGAAATGTAACGTTATCTTTGATAATATTTCGTCTCTTCATTTTTCGTCAACGAAAGTAAAGAGAGATTTTGGCATAGTTTTTATTTAGTAAACTACAGTTTCGTCTCGTCACTATTCGTCAACGATATTGCATGTTGATTTCGTTACAGTTATTGTTTACTGCCGTCGGTGCCGTCTCGTCATCGTCTCGTTTTAGTCATGGAAAAAAAGGTTGTTGACGAACATATTTCGTCATAGTTTTAGTCAACGAAATTACTAGTGTCATCCCCTGGCTGTGCTAACTATGGGCTGAAATATCTAGCCAAGGAAAACAGTCACTCACATCCAATAGGATCCCAGTTTGTTGCAAGAGACTTTTATGTGGACGACGGAGTCACAAGTGCAGACACCGTTGAAAAGGCAATACAGTTGGCACACGAGGCAAGAGAGATATGTACAAAGGGTGGTCTCCGTCTACACAAATTTGGGTCAAACAGCCTGGCTGTCCTACAGAGCTTACCATCATCAGAATGTGCAATAGACACCAAGACAAAGGACATGACCTTCAATTATATGCCAATGGAGCGAGCATTAGGGATAACATGGAGCATAGAGGAAGATAGCTTCAGATTTAACAACACTTTGAAAGACCAACCAGCAACACGTAGAGGCATATTGTCTACTGTCGCCTCCAGGGGCGGATCTAGAAAAATATTCATGGGGTGGCAAGAGGGTGGCAGGAGAATTTCAGGGGTGGCATCCCCTGGCAGAAGTATATGCTGATTTAATCGCAGTCATATGCTAACTTGGAAAGCCACAATATTAATATTTTAACTCAATAATAATAGGTGACATTATTGTGGCACATCAGTAAAGCCTTAAATATAAATATATAAGGTGGCAGACATCATTGAATGATTGTAACTGAACAATAACGTTGGGTTACGTATTGTAACCCTTGTTATATTAGCACAGGCAGAGCCCTCTACTGGACTCTATGGGTACTACCTTACCCTGCGAGCATTCTCCCACTGAGACTTCTATAGACGTAGCCGGCCTTGGGCAGGCCTACCTGAATGCACGCGCATCACACCGTATAAAAGGAGGCCTCGCCTCCTGACTATCATCCTACACCTCTCTTCAGCGAGCGGAATAGGACAGACAGTGCCCTGAGTAGAGGGCTCCGCCTGTGCTAATATAACAAGGGTTACAATACGTACAGAGCACACCCTGCTGTGCTTACCTCGCAGAAAGTGTGCTCAAAAAACAGTGCTGGGGGACCCCCCCCTGCCCATAGACGGATGGGGAGAGCCCCCTCGGCCCTGAATGGGTTTACTACACGCCTGCCTCCCTGAATCCCTAAGGATAACAGGGAGAGCGCCAGAGCCCCTGCCCCACACTCACCCCTTGCAGAGTGTGTGGACTAAAGTGTGGAGGGCTGTAAGGGCCCAGCGCGCCCCTCGCCCATCCCGGGACCCTCAGAGGGCCCGAGAACAGCGAAGGCGCATTACGTCTGGGGAGGGGGTCAGATGCCAACTGACCCACAACCCCCCCCCTACCAGTCCTGTGTTGCCCCCGCAAGCACAGACGAGGAGAAAGAGCCCGAAATGTCCAAGAGATAAAACCTTATGAAGGGGCCTGGCGTCGACCAAGACGCCGCTGTGCATACATCCTCCACACTCACACCGTTGAATAAGGCTGTTGACACAGCTACAGCCCGTGTGGAGTGCGCACGAATCCCTGTGGGGCAGGCTCTCCCTGCCTGTCCGTAGGCATGTGCAATGCACTCGCAGAGCCAGCCTCCTGACCCCCTGTAAAAACCGCGACATCAGCGGTTGACTAAAGGCTGACCTGCCGCCAAATCCCTCATGGCAGGACGAGATGGCTGCTGCATACACTTTCACTGTGGAATGCGCAAGCCCTCTGTCCACCAGTAACTGTAAGAAGGATAAAATAGAGCCCAACTCACACGATAGGGGCTCTATTCTCCTCTCCTCACACCATCGCTGGAATCATAGCCACCTTGGCCTGTAACAGGCTGTGGTGGATCCAGCTCTAGCTGCCTGGATAGACTGAATAACACTGTCAGACAATCCACCCAGTCTCAGCCTGTCCCTCTCTGGAGCTAAGCCTGGAGAGGCACTTGCCTCTTGAGACATCGCCCCCCAGAACTGGGGAACCGCCCAGGGCTGGCCCACCTTCATCTGTGTCATCTCTGAGTACCACGGCGCCCCAACGCAGTCCGGAGCCACTAGGATGACTGACAGACGTTCTCGCCTCACTCTCCCCAGGAGAGGGAGAATGAGACGCAGCGGTGGAAAGGCGTATAGCAGCTTCCTTGGCCATGGCTCGTGTGCAAACGCGTCAACCCCCAAGGGCGGGTCGTCGCCCAGGGCCATGGAGAACCACAGGGTACAGTGGTTGTTGCGCCGGCTGGCGAACAGATCCACTTCCGCTCTCCCGAACTGGGCCCAGATCTGCTTCACCACCTCTTGGTGAAGCGTCCATTCGCCTGGCAGGGGGCCGCCCCTCAACATGAGGTCGG